TCCTCCCCCCTCGCTCTGTTCAACTCACGCTGCAGTTTTTTTTTTTCCAAACTTTATTCAGTCAGTCAGCATTGACAATGAACTGCAGGTGAACAAAACGAAACGGCTCCGCAGCGCCGTGAAAGACGCATAATTGCACGACACAACGAATCGATAACGAAATTCGTTGCCAACGCTTTTAATCATCGATTTTTATCGATTTTATCATCGATTCGTTGTTGCAGCCCTAATTAATAGCATCAAAAGTAAAAACATAAAGACACAAGCACAATGAGAAACAATGGCATAATAAATCAGATCATCCTGTGTTAATTGTCAATGAATACAGATGCGTTTTCGGGGAGATTTAAAAGTAAGGACTGAAGTGGCCTGTCTAATGTTGATGGGCAGATTGTTCCAAAGTTTTGGGCCAATGACTGGAAAAGCCTGATCTCCTCTGAGCTTCAACCTGGTTTTTTGTACAACCAAAAGCAGCAGGTCAGATTATTTCAGTTCCCGAGAAGGAACATAAGGTTTAAGTAGGTCAGAGACGTATGAGGGTGCAATGCACTTAAATGTCAACAGGAGAATTTTAAAATCTATTCTGACAGGGAAGTGCAAAATGGCCACTGATTGATGAACTGCGTTTTGATAGGCTTCCATCAGCCCCACTGAAAAATTGTCTTTTATAATTATATACTTGCTGTCTCCACACTGGATTCTACCTCTGAGATTGGTGTCGCTACATGATTGACTCGATGGAGCTGTAATATGGTCTCTAAGCTAAAGAAATCTAAGTCAGCGATGTCTTACCCCATGTGGCTTGTTGTCACAGCCTCAGGCTGCTGTGATGGAGCGGCAGGTATAACGGTATGTACGTCGCCCCCGCCCAATTTTAAACATTTAAACAACTTTTTTTTTTGATAAATGAACACTGCCTTTGGTGAAAGAATATGACTATGGAGTCATGGCCATCTCGGACCACGGTCCACTTATTATGAAACTGCTTATCCCGGTCACAAAATCTGTATCTCGTCCTTGGAGATGTTTGTCTACCCAGTGAGATTACCACATGAGTTATGGCAAAATCCCACTGCAGCCTCTCCTCTAAGGGGTATCATCGGACCAATCTAGCACTTGAGCTTTACCCAAAATGACGTTAGATTAATTCCACTTAAGGCTGTATTGGAAGTGATTCACCCAGACTGTTCACGACCATCAGCTGTGAGCCACACCCTTATCTCACCCCTAGACTCGTCCAACCTAGTAGTCGGGGTTAGGATGTTAATCAAGGGGAAACTGGCATTTTTAGGCCACTCACCTCCTATTGTAGAACTGCAATTGTTACCTATCTGGTAGTTTTAGAATCTAGGCACAAGATTCCAGGGTGTTGTTTGATCCAAGCTGCGAAACCTTTAAAAACCTCCTTTTCTTGATGAATTTGAACCAAGCTTTTCCAACTTTTTGAACCCGAAGTGTAGAAATGATGGTCCATAATTTTACATTTTATGCTTTGCTTTAATCAAGGATTTGCAGGGGCACAGCGTTATCAGCACATTATAATTGATTACATTTGATCATTCCAACAATTCTAAAGACAGAGAATTCATGCCTGGTTCCAGAGACTGTCTTATGGGTTTTGTGTGACATTCAGGGTCCTATTGTGTCCACAAGGCGTGGCTCCCCTGACTCCGATGAGCCAGGTAGGAGAGTCCTATCTTCTAACTCTTGAGTTGTTATTATAGAGCAGCCTGTTCCTACACAGTGGACTGATATGCGCTTGGAGCCCCAAGGCAGGATAAAACCCCTCAAACCTCTGTCTGTCTCACTAACCAACCAACCAACCAACCAACCCTCTTTTTCCCTTCACTAGTTCGATCTGATCGGTGATTGGATGTAGTTTGTCATTGTGCACTTTTAAGGCATCAAGTTGTTACTGCTCTACTTCTTGGTTCACAAGTCACTGACATACGATCTTTCTTACAGCCCGTTTCCTTTTATGGTAAAGGAGCTGCTTTTCTCGATTTCTACATGTAATTCTACAAGGTATTTACACACTGTTCTGCTGAGGGCAGCCTGCAGCCTTCCAAAGGAAATACAGCATCTCTCTGGAATGCTGTTAGGCCCCCCCAGACATCAGCTCCCTCAACTTGCTTTTCTCTCTCTTTCAGAACATAGCCTGAATCCCTACACATTTCATTCATTTTACTTAACCCTAATCACAGGATGCAATATAGAATACAATAATCACCTCATGCATGAATACAATACTGTTATGATTCATTCATTCATTCAACCTTTTTTTAAACAGATTAATCACATTGAGCCTCGAAGACTCATTTACAAGTGAGATCAGTTTGGACAGACAAAAAACAGTGGTTAACTAGACACATGTGAGAGTTGGAGGCAAAAAAAATTTCTATCAGACTTTTCTTGGCTGAGAAAAACCTCTAATATTGAAAAAACACCTCACACAAACAAGCACATATTTATGTAGACATTTTGCAATAGAGCAGAGCAGGAAGAAGGAAGACGAGACCGGTCAACAACGCTTACAGATGCTCTCGAGGTCACTGTAATCAGTCAATGTCCTCCGGTGAGATCCATAAACATTCTTGAGGTATGTCGAGAAATGGCCAAGGATAACCTCTATAAGAATCCAGAGTCCTGAAATGATGACACAGAGTCCTCAGGGAGGGGGTGGTGAGCGTCAGATCACATTTTCTCCAGGTGACTTTAGATAAGATGGCCTTCAAGGACAGCCAAGTGTAATGAAATAATACCTGTCTGATATTATCCATAATTTAAAGATTCTTTCATTTTTCTGGACTGAGTAATATCGCGTTTTGAATATTAAATGTAGACGGAAACGTGTTTAAATTTCTGACTCACCAACAACAGTGAGCCGTTTAATTAAAAACGATTTAAACACATCACACATTTACAATAATTGGCAGATTGATTACAATAACACAGCTTAATTAATGAGCTTTACAATGAGAAAATCATACGGCCATGATTTTCACTTGCAACTGAAATACAACAGACATTTCTGAAAATATCTGGATTAATTACTGGCAGATAGAAGAGTTTTAAAGATGGGAAATGAAGGAGTTTAAATGGAGAG